CATTAACCCAGAGGTTTACATGAATTTGGAGAGCAGATTTTCTGTAAGTTTTGTCAGAAACATGATCAACCAGACTGTTATGGCCACAGCCGTTTGTGTTGTTATGTGGTGCACCTTTTCCTCCTCTTGTGAGTTGTGGTGGTGCTACACCTGAGGAGCTGTCCTGAGCACCCACCTGCTCATTCTGGCTTGGCCCTGCACCAGCTGTACATAGTCCCCATCAGATGCCAGAGCATTAAGCTCCTTGGGAAGCAGCTCCTCAACGACCAAAAGACCAGAGCTGCCTTTCCTCCAGCCCGTTGTCTCCCAGGCAGACCTTTAGACGAATGAAGGGGCTGGCGCATTTGGCTCAATGTAGAAAATGTGATAGGTGCCATAAAAAAAAATTAAGGTGTCTTCATCAGAGTTCTGATCTCTGACCAACACCATGTCAAAACGTTCGTTTTTTATTTTATTTTATTTTTTTGTTCAATGTTGCAACAGGTATACAACAAGTGTAGTGTAATGGTTTATGGCTCTTTTATTAAAGAGGAACCATTCTACATATTAATTCGGAATATTAATTTTAACAAATTAATAACCAAATTTTATAGTGTTAAGAAGACTCAAAGGTTGTTTTCTTCGATAAGCTGACGATCATATCCGGGTGTCTGTGTTTCAGTTCAATGAAGAGACAAGTTTGAAATTTAAGAACTTTAATTCTTCAATTTAAACTAATGATTTGAAATGACAATCATAGGAAAAATAATCAACATTGGCAACCTTGTTGGACAATCTTTAACAGTTGATATTTTAAGCTTGCTCAAATAGACCTTGTGTTGGATGTGCTAAAATTGAGGATGATGGAATTATGAATGCGTGCATGCATGTGTGTGAGGTTGCTTCAGGGAGAGAAAAGGTGACTCTGAGTGAAAATGATGGTTTGAATTAAACTTATTTCTTATTAGAAAAGATGCATCAGAACGCTATCTGGTCGTCTGCTGCCTCACCCTCTTTCGGACTCGGAACTCGGAGGAGTTTCATCCATGTCACGCCTTGGCTGGCAGAGAAGACAAAGGTGTGCGACGCTCCGGTCCAGAGATGACCTCGGTACACGTTGATGAAGCATTTGGCAGATGCGCTTTCTCAAGTTTAAATTACTCAGAAATCAAAGACTCTGGACGAGTCTGCGTTAGCGGTTGCATTTCAGCTATTCTGTCTGGCTTGACAGGAATAGCGTGGGGGGGGGGGGAAAGAGCCGGCGGCTCCGTTCCCCGTTGGCGTTTGTTCAGCACGTCCGCTCTCTCTCGTTGTCAAACTCGAACTGAATGACTTACGAAAAACCCAGTTCTCTTCCCAAAGCAAACTTGTGCGTCAGAACAAATGTGTTTTGGGAGTTACTGTGGATGCAGACCTGTGTGAGTGAGTGTGAAGGTCATCACCAAACATCTTCAAACATTATTTAATTAAGCATTGATTCATTATAGTTCATTAAGCATAACAATAATTCATTTGATTAAAATACATTTATAATGAGCAAAATGATAAATTGATTATTTAGCATTAATAAACAAAGAAAGCGTAAGACTCTTTTATTATGGCTAGATTGTGTGGGAACTCCTTCTTCTGGAGACCAGATGTTCGGTTGTTGTGGGATCGTGTAGACTCGCTGGCGGCCGAGGTCTTTATCTGTGGGTGAAAGTTGCTGGTGACCCAGCTTCGACCCAGCCGGGCAAATACAACCTTTGACACAGAAAAACCCATACTTCCTCACGCTACACAAGTATACACACACATATACACACTGTTGGAGAAAAGGTGGAGTCGGTGAGGGTCCTCCAACCCCCAACCCAACGAGCCTATGACTAGTGTGTTTTCTGTCCAGGCAGCCTGCGTTCGTATGTATGTAAATACTGTAACACATTTAAAAAATTCACACATTTAATTGGAGCTTGCAATTCAAGCAAGGTGGAACCGTTGTCATTGATTTTCTGGTTGACCGAATGTCACTGACGCACACAACGATGCACAGCGCTCTGCTAACGGCTGCTAAAATGGAATCATTAGAAGACGTTGCCTTGCTTGGACTGCTGCAGCATTTGAGAAAACATGACAGCGTCTTCTCTTCAGTTGTAAAAATAAACTTTCTGAAGACTACGGAGTCCGTGACACGGACATCTGGGAAACAAACGACATGGGACAGCAGCAGCTCAGGAGGTAGAGCGGGTTGTTCAGTAATCGGAAGGTTGCAGGTTCGATCCCGGCTCCGGACAGAGAATGCTGCTGTTGTGTCCTTGGGCAAGACACTTAACCCACCTTGCCTGCTGGTGGTGGTCGGAGGGACCGGTGGCACCTGTGCTCGACAGCCTCGCCTCTGTCAGTGCGCCCCAGGGCAGCTGTGGCTACATCGTAGCTCATCACCATCAGTGTGTGAATGGATGACTGATACACTGTAGTGTAAAGCACTTTGGAGTCCTTACTCTGAGAGGCGCTATACAAGTGCAGGTCATTTATCATTTAGGTTAAAAGAATAATATAAAAGAATAAAACAACTAGAGCATAGCACAAAGAACCAACCAAGAGAAGTCAATAAAATCAGTAAAAGAACAGTGTAAATAAACCATCGATAAAATAGCTAGGCAGTAAAAGCAAAGGAATAAAAGTAAGTCTTTAAGTGAGATAAAACTCCAATGGAGGGGGAGAGTCTGATATTCAGCGGGAGATCATTCCAGAGTTTCGGAGCGCAGACAGAAAAAGCTCGTTCACCACGGGTTTTGCAGAGTAGACGAGGAATCTGTAGTAGGTGTAGGTCACCTGAACGGAGAATCCTGCCCGGCACATAAGGAGTGAGTAACTCGGATATGTAGGGTGGTGCTGAGCCATTCAGCGCCTTAAAAACAAACAATAAAATTTTAAAACGTATACGGTAGTGCACAGGAAGCCAGTGAAGTCTTGCTAAAATTGGAGTGATGTGCTGCCGACGGCCAGTATTGGTCAGAAATCTTGCTGTCGCATTTTGTATCAGCTGAAGGCGAGATCATGCGGCTTTTGAAATGCCAAACAGAATTGCGTTGGAGTAGTCCAACCTTGAGGTGATGAAAGCATGAATGGTTGTCTCGAGGTGGAAGTTGAATGAAATAAGCTTGTTTTAATTCCATAAAGAAATATTCCACTCTTTGGACATTTCTTAGGTTTATTTAATTCTCCTTATTTTAACCCTTCTAAAATGTCTCGGCGCTTTCCAGGTCTAAAAACAGAAACGGTTTCAGGTTTCCGTTGTTATCCTGCCTCTGTGCGTTTTCACCGGAGACTCCGGTATTCCCACAGGAAGGATGTAAATCAGTAAATCTTACATTGACTGAAGTTGTATTTTTTTTATGTACCATCTATCTTTTCGGGGTTTCTCCACTTCTCACTGCCGTATATCTGTTTTTCACTCGTCTGTTTTCACTCGTTCATCAATGAACCCGCCTTGTTTAAAACGGCCCTGAAATCTGAACGAGACAAAACATGAACGATCTTCTGTTTGAATCTTCTTAAATACAAAGGGAGTAGATCATTTCTCTTTAAATTAAAATATTTTATTTCAATGCTTTTAAGACTTTTTTAACCAACAAATGTCTGCATTTAGAATGATTCAAATAAATTAATTGTAGGTTTGATATAACTGAAAGTGTTGGACATCTATAAACCATCCATAACTTTTTGTCTGCTTATCCGGGTCGGATCGTGGGGGCTGCAGCCTAAGCAAGGAGGCCCAGACTTCCCTCTCCCCAGCCGCTTGGGCCAGCTCCTCCGGGGACCCTGGCCAGCTGAGAGACATAGTCCCTCCAGCGTGTCCTGGGTCTACCTTTAAGTCTCCTCCCGGTTGGACGTGCCCAGAAAACCTCATCAAGGAGGCATCCTAACTAGGTGCCTGAGCCACCTTGGTTTTATTTTTACAGAGTTCCTTTACTTTAGTGTTTTACAAGCAAACTTGGATTGGATTTTTCTTTTGGTTGAAGAAATATTACATTTTAATTTTTTACTACATATCAGGTAAATAAAATACATCAACTGGTTTTCTCTTCTAGAACAAAACAAATGTAGAAGCTGGTCACTAATGAAGTGTTCAGCGACACTAATGGCGCTTAGACATTCGGGTCGGGCTGGATGGCGTGAGTTTGGGCTGGAACAGGCGGTGTAGTGTTCACGTATAAATCCGAGGGACTTCTAAGGAAGGCGGAAATCCCCGAGCCTGTGGGCGGGGCTTAATACGCGCGGGGAAACTCTGCTCCATAAGGTAAACAAAAGGTGGACGTGAGCTGTGTTGCTTTTGGAGACTCTGAATCACATTATCTTCTTAATTTGCTGTGTGTGTGTCCTCATAATCCTGTGCCACACACACACACACACACACACACACACACTCACTCACTCACTCACTCAGTCTTCTCCTGTTGCCACACTGATCGGCAGCTCCGTGCTACAGACAGACGTTTACTCAACAACATCCAGCATGAAACTGGATCGCGCGTGCGGGGACCCCCCCGGGCCCCCGGGTCGACCCAGGATACGTTGGAGAGGTTACATCTCCAATCTGGTCCGGGAACGCCTTGGGGTCCTGCCGGAGGAGCTGGTGGAGGTGACCGGGGGAGAGGACGGTCTGGAGCTCCCTAGTTGGGATGCTGCCCCCGCGACCCGGACCCGGATAAGCGGAGGAAGACGAGGACGACGACAATCAGTCCGTAGTGTCGTCTCGGCCCCAGTCTGACCACTGGGGAGAAGGTCTGAGAAAAAGAGTCGCCTCGGAACCGAAAATGCAAATCTGACTGGTGTGTGAAACCAACTTCCGGTGCCGTTCGATACCTTTTGGGGCTGTGCTGACGCTAATGTGTCAGCGCCATAAGAGTAGCTAGAGGGTCAGCCAGGTTGGTTTAGACTTGTTTCTTCTTGACCTTATGACCCAAAACATTTTTACAAACAACAAAACAAACAGCGGAGAGGTGTTTACCTGATTATCTTTCATTTTTTTCCTGTAGAATATCCACGGCCACAAAGGTCCGATCACGGCCGTGTCGTTCGCTCCTGACGGTCGATATTTAGCCACGTATTCCAGCGCCGACAGCCACATCTGCTTCTGGCAGGTAAGACATCCAAATACAGACACACCTCTAGTTCTTCATAGTTATGTTGATGGTCTGCTACAGTGTTTCTAGCTTTGTCTATCCAAGAGAACTGTGGCTCATCCATTGAGTTAGTAGCTTTTATGTTTGAAGTATGCATCAATAATGAGTTAAACAGTCAAAAATGGTCGTCTGAGGTGTGAACCTGAGGAAAAGTAGCCGTGGCGCATGCCTGAGCCTATATCAGTGCAGCACTGAGGCTTGTTAGGGCCGACGAACAGTAAAAACATGATAATGAACTGCTCTGGTAGAGTTTAGGGGTTATTGTTTTATAGTTTTTTATTTATTTATTTATTTATTATTTATTTCATTTATTATTAAAATAGAAAAAAAACAATGCTAACAAATTAAACGAGGTATCTCAAACCAAGAAAATGAAAAGGGAACAGAAAGAACAAAACATATGTTATCTGCCCCTTTTTAACTAAAATGACATTTTTACAATGAAATAACAATAATTATAAATGAGCCTATACAAAGTAATCGCTCGACTGGTTAGCTAACTTGAGTTCAATTTGTAAAGAAGAACAAAATAACTAATAGTATTAATTCAAAAAGCAAAAGGATTTTTGCACATATACCTATTCATACATATATACATTAAAGTGCACCGCATGCACATATGGTCTCACATACTTCATTTATACATATACATATAGATATACACACGTATCCACTACATGTACACATAAACAAACAAACATACACATTTATACATACACACATCTTCTATAGCTTTATTTATTTATGTATTTATTTTATATAATTGATTTGCACGTATATGATTCCAGTATTTCATTTTTAATTAGTTTTTTGAAAGTAAATATCGTTTTTGCGTCCTTGATTACATTACTTAGCTTATTCCATATTTTAACTTCATATATAGAGACACAGCGCTCCTTTATAATTATTCTATGCTTAGGTATTGTAAATAATTCACGTCCTTTTAGTTCATAGTTACTCTGTCTTTTTATAAATCTTCTAAGTACATTTTTAGGAAGGTTTTTTTTGTTTACATGATACATACATTTAGAAGTATTGTAGTCCACTAGGTCATAGAATTTTAATGTTTTTGTTTTTATGAATAACGGCTTAGATGGATCTCTGTAATTACTCCTTGTAATGATTCTTATTGCTTTTTTTGCAGTATATAGATAGAATTTGTACAAGTGTTGTATGTTGTGCCGCAGATTTCTATATAATAGTTTAAATATGGTGCATTAAGTAAATTATATAATAAATATAGGGAGCTATCATCCAGTGACCATTTTACTCTATGCAACATCACAATTGTTTTAGCTATTTTAGTTTTCACATTGTTTATATGTGGCTTCCAAGTTTAGGAAATAAAATGTTTTTGAGAAACTGGAACGTCACACGGACGTGACTGGTGCGTGTTTTAACCAGTAAGTACTGGTTAACTACTCATTAGTCCCTGGTTCATTCCTCTTTACCTCTTAAATCTTTCCCAGTAATGAAGTACAACTTTGTGCTCCTTATTGTAAAGTGTTACGGTCTAATGCTCTAAATTATAAAAAAAAGGCCTGTTTCCATAGTTAAAGTCCTAAAGTTATGTTATTAAAGCTGTAAATGTAGGAAATAAACATTTTCTCTATGGTTGAAAATTTGTGGAAAAACTTGGAGGGTTCAGCAGAAATCAGAATGAGTTATTTAACGAGATACTTTGCTGCTTTTTCATGTTTTTAAAGTGTTGTCTTGGGCAAGTATGAGATAAAATGACCCTTTTACTGGGTTAATGAAAGACCGCCGGCCCTTATCGCCCCCTGTAGCCAGAATAATCCACTTGCAACTTCAGACTGGTAATCCGGTCTGTTGGGGTTTATTAAACATAGAGCTGACATACCTGGCGCTGCGTTCTGCTTGCAGCTCGTTTCCTGCATGTTTTAGACTATGAACACAGCTGATTTGTTTAATTTAGTGATGAATCACTCCTGTAGACACTAATGAAGGCTGGTGAGACGTTTCAGCAGGTAGATTAAGGTGTTAGAGAGGTCCACGCACAGCGAGGAGTTGGGTTTTGGTTTTACAAGCAGGCACGAGGAGGCGCTGAAAGCAAACCAAACCAGTTCACAAGGCATTCATTCCTACCCAAGACTGAATGTGTCGATGAAACGAGTGAACCACACCTTTAAGATTTTCCTACGTGATCATATTTATCATGTAAATATGTGTCGTCAATTACTGCCAACGCCCATTCCATTAAAGACCGATCCGAGCCTCCAAACGGTCATGTGATCGTTCTAGAAAACATCTCACGTTTATTTTCATGACAACACACACACACACACACACACACACACACACACACACACACACACACAAACACACACACACACCTCTGTCTCTCTTCCCAGAACTGTTATTTTGAATGAAAGGACTTCACATCACTTGACATGGCTGTCTGTGCACACATGCACATATGTTTGCACGCACACACACACACACACACACACACACACACACACACACACACACACACACTCTCTAAAGGCATTACTGTAAGTATAAACCACTGGTAGCGCGCCGGCAAGACGGCTGCTGTGGTAATTAGCTGGTAGACGCTTTGTCTGTGTGTGTGTGTGTGTGTGTGTGTGTGTGTGTGTGTGTGTGTGTGTGTGTGTGTGTGTGTGTGTGTGTGTGTGTGTGTGTGTGTGTGTGTGTGTCTGGGGGGTTGATGTCTCAGGAACAGATAGTTTCTACTTGTGTGTGTTATTTTCTGACACACACAAATTGCGCCCAGTTTCATCTTCCTGCTTTTCACCTCATTTTGAGTTCCTGGTAAACATACAGGTGCTGGCCAGTAAATTAGAATATCATCAAAAGGTTGAAAATATTTCAGTAATTCCATTCAAAACGTGAAACTTGTACATTATATTCATGCAATGCACACAGACCAATGTATTTCCAATGTTCATTACATTTAAATTTGATATTCATAAGTGACAACTAATGAAAACTCCAAATTTGGTATCTCAAAAAATTAGAATATTCTGAAAAGGCTGAATATAGAAGACACCTGCTGCCACTCTAATCAGCTGATTTTACTCAAAACACCTGCAAAGGCCTTTAAAAGGTCCCTCAGTCTTGTTTTGAAGGCACCACAATCATGGGGAAGACTTCTGACTTAACAGCTGTCCAAAAGACAATCATTGACACCTTGCACAAGGAGGGCAAGACACAAAAGGTGATTGCTAAAGAAGCTGGCTGTTCGCAGAGCTCTGTGTCCAAGCACATTAACAGACAGGCGAAGGGACGGAAAAAATGTGGTAGAAAAAAGTGTACAAGCTCTAGGGATAACCGCACCCTGCAGAGAATTGTGACGACAAACCCATTCAAAAATGTGGGGGAGATCCACAAAGAGTGGACTGCAGCTGGAGTCATCGCTTCAAGAACCACCACGAGGAGACTCATGAAAGACATGGGATTCAGGTGTCGCATTCCATGTGTCAAGCCACTCTTGAACAAGAAACAGCGCAAGAAGCGTCTCACCTGGGCCAAGGACAAAAAGGACTGGACTGATGCTGAGTGGTCCAAAGTTATGTTTTCTGATGAAAGCAAGTTCTGCATTTCCTTTGGAAATCAAGGACCCAGAGTCTGGAGGAAGAGCGGAGAAGCACAGAATCCACGTTGCATGAGGTCCAGTGTAAAGTTTCCACCGTCAGTGATGGTGTGGGGTGCCATGTCATCTGCCGGTGTTGGCCCACTCTGTTTCCTGAGGTCCAGGGTCAATGCAGCCGTCTACCAGGAAGTTTTAGAGCACTTCATGCTTCCTGCTGCTGACCAACTTTATGGGGATGCAGACTTCACCTTTCAACAGGACTTGGCACCTGCACACAGTGCCAAAACCACCAGCACCTGGTTCAAGGACCATGGTATCCCTGTCCTTGATTGGCCAGCAAACTCGCCTGACCTTAACCCCATAGAAAATCTATGGGGTATTGTGAAGCGGAGGATGCAATACGCTAGACCCAACAATGCAGAGGAGCTGAAGACGACTATCAGAGCAACCTGGGCTCTCATAACACCTGAGCAGTGCCACAGACTGATCGAGTCCATGCCACGCCGCATTACTGCAGTTATTGAGGCAAAAGGAGCCCCGACTAAGTATTGAGTGCTATACATGCACATTCTTTTCATGTTCATTCTTTTCAGTTGGCCAACATTAGAGAAACAAACATTTTTTCATTGGCCTTTAGAATATTCTAATTTTCTGAGATACCAGATTTGATGTTTTCATTGGTTGTCACCTATAAATATCAAAATTAAACGTAATAAACATCGGAAATACATTGGTCTGTGTGCATTGCATGAATATAATGTACAAGTTTCACGTTTTGAATGGAATTACTGAAATATTTTCAACCTTTTGATGATATTCTAATTTACTGGCCAGCACCTGTAAGATCTTATATTTTATTTTGTCACTTTAGCCCCAAATAGTGTAATTGCGCTGCTGGAAATGAGACTTTTAATCTGAAAATCACCCAGATTTGAAGTTGTTTTCATTTGACCTTAAATTCCTAAATGAAACGGTGACTTCATCCTTTAATCCTTTTATAATCTGTGCTTAATCCGATCTTCATCCAAAGGTTTTTATTTGACAGGACTTCCAGAGAAGCTGAGGTGAAAAGCTAAACGTTGGCTCTGAGGGAGTTGCAGCCATGTTCAGGTGCTTCCGTGTAAATCTGAAGAGTTGACAGGACTGATGAGCTAACGGCTAGTCTGAGTAGATAAGCTGTTTATACTGATAAAGATCTTGTTGCGCCTGAGACGGTCTCATGACACGACAGCTTCAGCTCAATTAATATTTCCTGCAGGTGATGTTTATGCTAGCTGTGTGTGAACGTGACTGAGGTCCGAGCCATTTTACAATGACAGCAGTACAGCGTCAGACTAGCTGTTAGCTCGTCAGTCCTGATAGACATAATAGCTTTTTCTCAGAACAGAGGCTGTACAGGAAGTGATGTAAGGGTAAGGTAGGAACTACTTGCTCTTTAGAGCGGCTGAACTTGCTCAGGCTAACTGACTGTGGTCACTCCTCCTCAGATGAACACCAGTCTGTTCGGCAGCATCGGGATGCTGAACTCGGCTCCTCAGCTCCGCTGCATCAAGACCTACCAGGTTCCTCCGGTGCAGCCCGCTTCTCCTGGATCCCAGAACCACCTGAAGCTCGCCCGCCTCATCTGGACCTCCAACCGCAATGTCATCCTGATGGCCCACGATGGCAAGGAACATCGCTTCATGGTCTGATGTGGTCTGGGGTGGTTCTGAGCTGCAGCTGACCCAGAACCGTCCAAGCCCGGGTGCTGGTTTGGGTCAGATTAGTCTCCTCGGTAGTCATCATGAGGAAACTAGCTGTAAATATTCAAACGAGTTTACATGAAGATTTGTTTCAGATGTTTTTCAGTCACTTCCTGTTTATTTAAGTTTATTTCCTGTTTGATTCTGTGAAGTGAAACATATCAGGAGTGTTTAAATTCTGCTGGTTTTACCCCGTTTCTGATTGTTTTCTCCTCTGAATCGGTTCAGACCACATTTCTGAGTTTCACCAAAAATCGCATATTCTCCGTCCAAAAGCTCGACCCGGCTCAGGTTCTGGAGGAAAAACGCATCTGAAGATCACTAAATCTATAGTCACAAGAAAAGTGAAACCTTAGTGCTGAATGTGAGCCTTTCTCTCTCTAACATATTTGAACATTTGTTTATTTTTCTCACATCTTCTCGATGTGCTTGTGTGAATCAGATGTCTAGGTTCGGATTATAATCCAGCGTCTAAGACCTCCACCTGGCTTCAGTAGAAACCTGTAAATATCCAGTTCAACTATCAAGCTGCTGTTTGTCGTCTTGTCCAGTGTGCAGAGTTATGCTGAGTCATTGTGAGTTATGCTGACTCATTGTGAGTTATGCTGAGTCATTGTGAGTTATCCTGACTCATTGTGAGTTATGCTGACTCATTGTGAGTTATGCTGGGTCATTGTGAGTTATGCTGGGTCATTGTGAGTTATGCTGGGTCATTGTGAGTTATGCTGGGTCATTGTGAGTTGTGCTGACTCATTGTGAGTTATGCTAACTCATTGTGAGTTATGCTAACTCATCGTGAGTTATGCTGACTCATTGTGAGTTATGCTGACTCATTGTGAGTTATGCTGAGTCATTATGAGCTATGCTGAGTCATTGTGAGTTATGGTGGCTAATCGTGACATCAGCCATTTTGGTGAAAAGCCTTTTTATTGTTTTAGATGATTTCAGTGAAACTTTAAGGAACAAAAAGGACAAAGAATTACAAAAGATATTAATATTTACGACAACATCAAGTAAAATTCTTTATTCTTTAGTTGCTTACGAGCTTTTTTGTTCTTTGGGATTTTCCTGAAACTCTGGAATCTTTTTACAAAATGGCCTTTAATATGTTAAAAATGTGGTTTATGAATCTCTGATGGGTGCAGGTAGATTGTTCCTAACGGGGAATTTATTTTGAAATGTGGATTGGACCAAAAAGACTCGGATAAAAGAACAAAGACAGAAACGTTATGATTGAATAAAACAACCTGGATTAAAGTGAATACATTTAGTTTGTTTTTTAAACAATTTACACGTTTAGTTTGAGTCTCGGGTATTCGGAGGGAAAGGGATTTTTGTTTATTTTTAAACGCTGCTGTGATTTTCCTGCTAGTTTGGAGCTTCCTGCTTTAAACTGTCTTTGATCTTTTATGGTTCAGAGTTTTATTCAGAGATTATTTACATATAAACTATAATAAAAAACAGGATATTTATGGGAAGTTTGAAGCGTTTCCTTCCTTCGCCTCCTCTTCAGAGCCGTCAGAAAGCTTCTAACGCATCACACACCTGTAAACCCGAGCGTGTCAAAGCTTTTCACAACTTCTTCCTTTCCTCAGAAAAATTCCCGACCCGAGGTCGGAGGGATTTCTGAAAACCCTCTCAGTGCATCCTGACAGCGTTGAGATCTTAATCTTTGGGTTTCTGCTCTTAACAGTTTGACTAAACTTGTTTTCTGGAAGCCTCCCGCGAGAGGAAGGGTGAGAAAAGTACGGCAGCTGAGGAGTAAGTAACAAGTGAGGAAGATGAGAGCAGCCGAGCAGAAAAAGGAGCTTTGATGGTGAAAATCTTCTGGGATCGTTCTTCCAGACCGACTGGAGAGTTACAGAAAACGTCTCATAAATACAAACTCACGTGTTCTGTAATCAAAACAGGAAATCTTTGAGGCAGGGACGTTTTCCTTCGTTAATTGAAGCCCTTTTTGGTTTCCTTTAGACGCCTCCGGCTCCGTTTTGACCTCTAACTGGTTTTTGTGGATCATGAGTGACGTGATGCATGTATATGAGCGTTCCTTCGTGTGAAACTCAATCTATGAAACAAACCCGAACTGTGTTGGTGTCAATTTGGTGTCAAATAAAAAATCTTCACAAAGTTTTGTCTGTTTGATTTTTCTGTTTTTGTTTCTTTGAAGAAACATTTGACTCCGTTTCTGAATAAAATGGTGACTTTCTTAGTAAAACTTGAGATTCTGCTGCTGGTTTCATCAGAACTGATGAAGTAAAACCAAAAACTTTCTCGTCTGACTCCGCTAACAATGAGGTGAGCTAACGAGGTTCTGCTCACATAGAAACGGGTCGATTTCTCACAAATCTCAAGTCTGTTCATAATTAATCATGAACGTGATTGAAGTTGAGATCTGTGTCAAATGAACTCAGTTATTCTCTTTGAATATTTCCATAAAGTTTTAATCTGAAGCAGGAAAATTCCCAATCAAATCCAGACTTTTGTTATTCCTGAGACAAAATCTGTCACCAGGAACCAGGTTTGTTTAAAAGCTGCAGCAGTGACATGCATCGTCATTTCATCGCCGGATCTCGGGTCAGTTTTAGTCCCGCCATGTTTGTCGTGGCCCAGTTGAACTTATTGGACCGATACTGATGCTGGTACCGATAAGAAGTGAGCATCAGGACCATTCTACGCTTTTAGCCCGTAAACAGAATAAAGAAAAAGGATTATGTTTGTAAATGCGGACAATAAAACCAGTTTTATAGGTTTTTACATTTTTATCAACTAAAATCATGTATTTGTTTTTTTTACGGACGTTTTTTTTTCTCCTGCCTTTGTTTTAAATTTCTGCTCGCACCCATTCAGGTATGAGCTTTAGTCTCCTACTTCCTTCTTATAAGCCACTACAAAGATCTGTATTTTATATTAAAGAGCAAGTCACCCCCCACCAGTGTGTTACTCCATTCCCACTTCCTGTTTGTGACATCATATGGTACCAGCTAACATTCTAGGGTACCTCTTAGCCAATAGCGATGGCAGATTTAAATTCAAATGCAGAGTTTTTACCTGACAACAGCACAACACTGACAGTTTTAGGCAGAAAATTAAAATTTTAACTAAAATGCACTAAAGTGCAAAACTATTGACTACACGTGTCTGCAGCACGATTAGACACGCGTTTATATAGTTTATCGGAAAAAAAGTAGATTTGGGGGTGACTTACTCTTTAGATTTACATGTCTTCAAAATGCCTAAATACGCTTTTGAACACATTTCTAAATATAATCTTTGGGCCACGCGCCTTCAAGCTAAAGTCCTGATAGTCATCATCACACTGGTGAAATACATCTCCACATCCGACCCATCCTATAGCAGTGATCGCGCTCGGGAACTATTTAACCCAATCCAACCCCTTAGAGCTGAGCATCAAGCGGGGAGGCATTGGGTCCCATTTTAAAGTCTTTGGTATGACCCGATTGGGATTTGAACGCCGACCTCCCAGTCCCAGGGCAGACACTCTACCACTAGGCCACTGAGAAGGTGAAGACTCCCTAATGCGTTTTTCAGATAAACAGGAACTATTTCATTATAAGTCATTCTCTTGATCTTGATCAAATCTGTTTTAAGCCTTTTTCTGTGCTTTATTTTGTATTATGTATTCAAAGTTGGCATCCTTTAATAGGAAAATGCAAAATTGGAAGGGGGGGGGGGGGATTAGGCTATAAAATAGAATAAATATGAAAGTAGATTTGATAAAGCTCAAAGGTATAATAGTTATTTATTAGAATACAAATTAAGGACATGTACTTCTGGTTTCTGTAGTAAAACACATTCTTCAAAGTAACTGATGGAAAATAAAGTTTGTTGAAAAGACCTGTAGAAAGGAACTCGATATGATAAAATATTAGCGTTGGCACTATTGAGAGGTCATGTTTAAGGAAATGTTATTTTTGTGACCCAAGACGCTTGGATTCAGTGAAACCCCTCCTCCCTCCACGTAAATACCACCATAGTCCACAGCTACAGGCCAGAAGACCGCAGATTCATGCCAGCATGTCCCGCTCTGCCTCCTGACGGTGAATAGTCGGTTGAAGGCTCGAGCCGCTCACACACACATACACACACACACGCACCTTGAACATAGAAAAGGCGGCTAAGACGGTAGCAGATTACCCACCTGTACCAATCCGTCCATGATGCCAACAAGCCAAACTTTATTACTTTTACTCTCATAGACAAAAAATATATTTTATTATATTAGACATTAGGGCCTGCGCAGTGGTGCAGTGGTTAGAGCTGTTGCCTTGCAGCAAGAAGGTCCTGGGTTCGATTCCTGGCCTGGGGTCTTTTTGCATGTTCTCCCTGTGCATGCGTGGGTTCTCTCCGGGTTCTCCGGCTTCCTCCCACAGTCCAAAAACATGACTGTTAGGTTGATTGTTCTGTCGAAATTGTCTTTAGGTGTGTGTGTGTGTGCATGGTTGTTTGGCAAGTTTGTCTCTGTGTTGCCCTGCAATGGACTGGCTCTCTGTCCAGGGTGTACCCCGCCTGATTGCCCGTTGACCGCTGGAGGTAGGCACCAGCCCCCCCCCCCCCCCCCGACCCCACGTGGACAAGCGGGTTCAGAAAATGGATGGATGGACATTAGGCGTCATTTAAAGAGCTAACTAAATAAATAAAGAAATCATTTTTTTTTTCAGATATGTAGAGATTGAACCCCCTGCTAGCTACACAGAGAGACTGGGTGTCAGTGTTTACAGTCCAGGGAAGGAGGGATCAGAATTTGAGATGCAGCAGACAATTTGCAGCTGAAACAGGAAAATACATACAAGACCCACCCCCCTCCCCCCCCAAAAAACGAAACACTGGGGGGTGTTTTCCCTGAGGAAATAATAATAACATGCTCAAACGATAGCATGATATAAAACCTTTAGTTAGGGATTTAATGTCCAGAGTGAGCAAGGAGGACAAGCATTCCCCTCTTCGTCTGACACATCACAAGCTAACGCAGAAACTTCTCCTCAGGTTAGTTATGAAACTTTTCAAAGACCTGCAGGTTGTTCCCGGGTGCTTTGTGGAGGCGTTGAAACCAGAGGAGATGATGAGTGAAACGATACAGCAGCAGATTACAGCTCCTGATCAATACCATCAATACCTGATGGGAGTCCAGCCTGGAAGCTGATCAAAGACAGGACGGAGTGGACAGACCAGACGGGGAGGGGAAAGATTCAGCAGCGAACGGGAGAAGGAAGAAGTTAAACGGGAAGAAACGAGGCAGCAGGCGGGTCAAAGGTTAAAGCCATTAGAAAGTGGGATCTAATGTCAGAAAACAAGATGGACGACAAGTCATAACCTAGCACACTGGTTTTCAAGCAGGTGATTAACAGGCTTCTGCCGACCCTGGTGAGCTGCTGCACGGGTGCTTAAACCACTGAACCAGGAGTGCTGGAGCAGAGAAACCACTAAAACGTGCTGGATACCGGCCCTCCAGGACCAGGAACCACCGACCTAGAGTCATCTGTCACGACCGAGGAGGACTGTTCCAAAGTGGAAACGTTTCCCAGGAATGGATGTTGGGGTCACGCTAAGGTCAGAGAAATAAAACAATCACCAGCAGTTTCATCTCAGACCCTGTGGGCCTCAGGTAGCAGGTTAAGGGTCAGAGGTCATGCCAGGACAACCAGAAAAATATGGAACGAGAAAAGCTCATCTGAGATGTACAGTTTCATCTGAACTGACCACAAGACCTCTGGAACGACGTCTCACGGCAATGCAGTTTACCCATAATGCACTGCAACCTCAACAGCTGATCCAAGCTGTCAGCACGGAGGAGGAGGAATGATGGTCTGGGCTCCTTGTAGTCATCGAGGTCACCTGGAGCTTCTCTGGAGACAATCTGAGACAGCTGAAGCTTGAACCAGAACCAGAACAATGATCCACACCAAGATGAAGTTCCTGCCGAGGTCCAATCAGAGTCCAGCTCAGAACCTGAGACCAGAGCAGGGTGGCCTGATGCAGCGCTGCAAAGAAGAGTGGACCAGAACCAATGTCGAGTTCCTGCGGCTGAAGCGATGTTGCGCGGGACCATCAAGCTCACCTTTAAAGAGTCTTTTCCCGACTTTGATCCAGATTTGATCTCGTGTTGAATAAAAGAATCCTGGAACGCAGCAGATGGTTCTGATTCTCAGGCCTGAGATGTGGGTATTGATCCTCTGAGGAGCGAAGCTTCATCACCACCTCTCCTCTCTTTTGGTCTTTATTGTTCCAAAGCCAAACTTCCTGCTGCAGGTATGAGAAAATCCCAACCTCCCGAACGTTCCCATCCCCGTCTTTGGTCTGATTCGGTCTGAATGGGATGATTTTCTCCGATCGTTGTCTTCATGCCTGTGTGTTTATCCATTATTGATGTTCCCAAAAAACCTCGTTCTTCAGCGTGAACTTGTTTTTGTTCCCTAAAGATAAAAAGATTACCTACAGATCTGCAGCTGTTTGTGGTCGATAAGATCTCACAGCTGGATGTGGGAGAAAGTCTACTCCTGGAGACGTTTCGTAGGAACCTAACTGTCCGGTTCTACGACCCAGATCCAGAATCTGAGGAATAGTTAAAAAAGCTCCATCCGCACAAGTTTAGTAGAATAACGTGATCTTTGATGTCCGTGAGAAAAGGGTTTTCTCCCAGTTTTCTGATATTTTTGCTTTTTTTTTGTTTTAATGTTTAGGATTAATAAAGCATTTAGCCTAAGACACAGAAGGGCAGCTGTGGCTACATCGTAGCTCATCCCCACCAGCGTTTGAATGGCTGTTGTGAAGCGCCTTGGGGGGCTGTAGAACCCTAAGAAGTTGCTATACAAATACGGGCCATTTACCATCTGAACATTTATGACTCATCCGTCCAACGTGCTGAAGACCGTTAGGTCTGACTGAGAAAACACGACGAGCCGGAACTCCGAGAGGATCGTTTATGTCTGAAATCTGATCAACAAGGAAACAAAACAAACTCAAGAGGAGAACATTAAAGAGCAAGTCACCCCCTACCAGAGTCTTACTCCGCTCCCACTTCCTGTTTGAAAATGCAACAAATGCTGTTGCCTAGCAGACCGAGAGGGCGGAGCCGCTAACAAATACACACACACACACACACACACACAC